AACACCTCGTCCACTTATGTCGCTTGATCTCTTCTGCAAAGTAAGCGTTAAGAAACGGTATGAATATCAATATTCATCGTCTGTCTCCATCAATTACTATAGATATAAAAAACTGTATTGTACTAAAAAGAGGAAATCTTTTTATATGTGAAGATTTCAAAGAAATATCAATTTGTCTCTCTGTTTTAGGATTTAATTCCTGATCTTGTTTATCGAAATTTCGTATTGGAAAAGTCGGCATCGATAAGGGAAACAGCAACAACATCGTTCGCAACAGGTCCACGCTCAAGTTTTCGCCGTCAACAAGGTCCACCTAATGCAGCTGCACGTTTCACCTCAAATCGTAGTAGTACCATAACCAATGAAAACTTATCACCATTGATTCTACCGCGCTCTCCATCCTCGTTATCATTACAAGCTGCTGGTTCACTTTATGAATATAAGCCAAAATTTGCTCAATATAAAAATGCGAACACGGGAGCAATTGTTATCAATCAACGAGATAATGCTCATAATCATACTACATTATTATCAAGTGGTTTACATGATAATCTTCAACCCGTACACCATCAAAAAGTAGCGCCAGCCCTATCAGCTGCTGTCGGGCAATCAACACGTCAACAACAACAAATCAATCGGTCAATCTCAGCACCAAACACATCATTAACACATCATCAACAAATGGTCACATTACAAACGCAAACAATAGCAATTGTCGTACCTCGCATTTTACAATACATTCCCGCATCATCAATGAACAATAATCATTAATCATACAGGATAAATTAATATATTTTTATACGTCGTTTAATAAAACACGTGCTTTTTTTTGATTTATTTATTTATTTTCTGTACAGAATAACAGAACATTATTATGTTGCTATTTTTCTCGTCTACTTATCTACTTCGTACATTTCTTTTTGTGTCAATAAATATAAAGTTTACATTGTAAACGAAGATCAGTTAGCATTTTTTACTGGCTTTTATAAGCACAATCAATTTACGATAGTGATATCAAAAATTAGATATGTTAGTCATTTTTTCAAAATATTTTTTATCTATTTGCCCACAATCTCACATTCAAACTCGAGAATTTAATGAAAGATTTAAACGGAGTATAATAAACGTTTCTTCATTCATATAAAACGAATTAATAGAAATCTTCGTTAAAAAGTCACAATATTTTGAACTTTATGTAAGCTCAACTAGAACAGCTTGTATCGAAATTAGATAAGGATCAAGTCTGATTTGAACAACTGCACTGTTCATGTGTTGTCTATTGATTTAACTATTGAGTCTGTGCCGTTACTGGGTTACCCATCGAGCTCTTTTTCAAGTTTTTGTTACATTTTATTCTCAGTGTTTCTATTTAGATCTGTCTTACGTGCTTTAGATCTCTTCAATTACGTACTGAAACGAAAGAAGGAAGAACATTTGTGATGCAATGAACAGAGTACATCCAAACATTTGTTTTGTTTTTACAAGTCTAGATATGGACAATAACAGCAAAAACAGTTATACCACTTTGTTTGTGGCGTCCGAATCACTTTTTTATAAGATAGAATAAGGAGGACAACAACCTAAGATGAGCGACAAGTAAAAAAATACACCAACATGAAAAAACAGAAAAAAAAATATCTGACCAGCAAAAACTACATCTGCAAGGCCCAGTCGTTACAACAAACAGCAAGCAAAGAAAATGAAAAAAGTGTTGAGCAAAATTATAATGAAGAAAAAACAATTACATTAGTATAAAAACATCTGATTGGGGCGCACTGCTGTACCAGACAACAATAAACTGAGATCGACCAGCGATAAAATCAGAGTATAGAAATAGAGTTGTATTACAAAGAAAAAAGTGAAAATTTGTGCTGTTTTATCAAAATAATAGTAAACAAAGTACAAAATAAAAATAAATAATGACTTCATATTTTGTAACACACATTCGAATGAGAAACTAAAATAAATGAAGAGAAAGCAAAGGTATAGACGGTTTCCATTAAGCACTTTATTATAACATGTCATAGCGCCGTATCAGGATCGTTAGTTGAACGTTAAAGTGTTGTTTTCGCCATGTTATCTCAGAGTATTAAACAGTCTAAGTTTAAACTTGCGATATTACCGTTAATTTACTTTGTGAGATTGACAAATTTAGTGCACATGTGAGTTCTTACTTGGTGACTTAAATTATAATTTTGTTTTTTATAGACGACCTCTTCTTAATCATCTTCGTTATCCTCTTCTTCATTGATAGCATTATTATTAGACGTTATGTTTGGTACAACCGTTGTAGTTGTTGTTTTCATATATATTATTTGATTTAACAGTACATTATTATAACTTAAATATCGACGAATCACTGATGATAATTGTTGCTGATGGTAGGTCTTTTGAAATAATTGTCCGATAGACGTCGTACATTCAACTATATCGATATATTTATATGATGTTAATTGTTCATATTTCAAACACCATATATCTATCAGTTGTTTACTGTCATATTTATAGAATAATTGCAATGCTAAAAATAAACAACTTGACGCAATTAACGATGAACGATAATTACAATAGGGATGATCTTGTAGCAATGTTAATGTTGTCAAATAGGATGGTAGCAATTGAAAACATTTCCATTTTTCAACATTATCGGCGGAAGTAGCATCTAATTTCATTAGTGATAAATAATGTTGGAGAAAAATATAAGGTGTTGGACCAGATAAAGAAAAATTTAACATTTTCATAACGATTTGTTCCATTCTAAGAATATGTTTTGTATCATATGTATTATCGGTTATGAAAGAAAATTCTTCTAATGCTGGTGGACACATTTCCTCGTATTTTGCTGCCAAATACATACACGTTGTACCTAAATGAAAAAACGAAAAATAAGACGGGAAAAATATTTCTAAATAATAAATATAAATATTTCTAAATAAGTATCCCAAGTTAGTCGAACTAAAACTGACAATTCTTCTATACGACATGTTGTAAATGAAAGCAGAAAGTAGTAGGAGGCCAGTGGTCAACTTTTGTTTAATTAACTACTTCATTCTTGAGACAACATTCGTTTACCTAATAGCTGTAATTTTGACCGTGTAACGTTAACTGTTGATAAAAATCGATCAACGTATTGTATACATAAAAATAATGTTTCATCACATAGTTTGTACTCATCAGCAACTTCAATCAACCAGTCAACGAGAATTGTTCGCATTTGAGCATTAATATCAATTTGTTGAGTCATAAAATTTGGTTTTAATGCATATAAATGTTCAACTAATTTTAAATGCTCAAATATTTTCATGCGATAATCTGGTAATTCATATAAATCCTGTTCTAATTGTGAATGATCTTTCTGGTTTTCTTGTTGAGATTGGTTTGGTGTTCTCACACCGACAGGAGATACAAACATTGATTCAACTTCTTGTTGTTCGTTGATCACCATCAGGTGTTTAGTCGCTTGTAAAATCGTTGTTGGTCGAACTACTTCTTGTTCTTGTGCAATGAATCGTTTTGACGTTTGTGGTTCAATGTTTTCTTGATCATGAATAAGAAGTTTCGTTTTATTCACATTTTGAAATAATGATTGTGGTTCTTGATTATTATAGGAATTGATTAATTTTGTTGATGTGACTAATGTTAACGATGAAGGAATTTGTGAAACGACTTTTAATGGCAAACGACTTGTTTGTTTTAAGATATTGCTATTAGTTGAAGAAAAGGAACAAGAGGTTTGAAGACCATTTGACGTCATTTTTAGTAGTGATCAGAGGACGTTGATTAAAAATGATCTAAATAAAACAAAAAAATGATTCTGTATTTCCTACGCTGATATTTCCTCACTATTTAAACGAAAGTTGTAATTTAATTGGGGTTACAATTCCTTCTGCTTCTTGCAGCTTTTAGAATTAGTAGAATTTTGACTCTTGTCTAAATAAAGATACGCAAATAAAACTAAGAGTAAAACGCAGCTTTTTGTTGGGCCTGTTCAGAAAAGGCTTCGTTACAGATAAATCAAACGAAATAATCCAAGTGTAAGCTCGCTGCTTTGTAGATCTTAAGAAAATCAATGGCCGTTGAAGATCACGGATAACAAAGAATAAACAACCAAAAATCTTCCATTTAAAAGCATCAGGATAAAAGATTTAATCTAAAAAAGAACTTTTCTTTACGTTAAGACTACTCTCTTTCTTTTCATAAGTGACTAATTTTGCATCCGAGTGGCAAAAACAGCTAGTCCTTCCAGTACCACTTTCTTTTTTTATGCCTCTCACTATCTCGCTTGCGTAACATGTCGCGCAGTTGATGTCTTTCTTTTGTTTGTCCTTTGTTGTTCTGCTATGCTGCGCTTTTAGTGAAATCTAGCACCGCTTCCCGCTGACGCCACTTCACTGTCCATTTAAACTCCACAAAATTCCGTCCTCCATCCGCTCATTTACACATCTTTTTTGAAAAATTCCAAAAGACCACCATCGATTTTAACCAAAAGTATATTATATATGCTGGTGTAAGTATCTTATTCGTTTGACTAATCCTTTTCTTAACATAAAGGAATAAAACTTCATAATACGGAAACAGAGGACGCACGCGGAGAGATTTTTTCGTGCTACATGACTCTCTTTAGTATAAACACAATTTTTTATGTGTATAGTATGGAGACGATGAATATTGATATTCATACCGTTTCTTAACGCTTTCTTTGCAGAAGAGATCAAGCGACATAAGTGGACGAGGTGTC